TTAGAGAATTGAAGATATCATCATGAAATGAACAAATTTGAGAGTGGTCCACATGTAGTACCTATATATATGTATTATCAAAGCAATTGGACTTGCGGTTTTTAACAAGAAGTTGAAAATATCACTTTTTACACAAAACGACAAAAATATTCACCAAAATTAGAGAATTGAAGATATCAAAATCTGCTGGACAAAGTTGGTTGCTAAATTACGATCTACATGCAGGTTTGTAATTTGTTTTTTAAACATAAATTTGATACATTTTACATGATCAGTTTTGCTTACATATAAGTAGCAATAACTGGATTATGTTTGCGTAAATAACTCCATTACTTTGCTGCAGGTCACTGCGTCTACGACACAAACACACTCCCGGTCATCATGTTTTCCATGCATTCCGAATAAGGAGCAAACTGATTGGTTGACCATTATCATTCAAAAATCTATGTATATCTACCAAGTCCATGCCATGCATTTTAAAAGACGATGACGATCACTTAAACAATAAATGTTCCACAAACAATACAAAGTGAGCATGCATTTCCAGAATCCACAAACTATACTATTATGTTCTCAGTTGTAGATAATAAAAATATTAATATTTTTTCACCTTCATAATCCCAGAGATTAGGGAATGGTTTTCCTGCCATGCCACTCGGGGCAGAAGGATCATTGAAAAATGGACCTTCTACTTCCATTAGTACACACTGGTTGTCATGGTCACTTGACAGCTTTATGTTGATTGGCCGATGGTCAACAGGAGTTGAATTCCATTGGTGTTTGATTTCAAACTGCAGACAGGTCATCATTGGACTTGATCTGAGGCGACAGTGTTCTTGGATTCTGGGGAAATGATCACATTTTGACAGTTTGAAGTAAAAACTAAAAACAGTATAATTGAAAGCAACATGAAAAATTAAAAACATTTACATCTAAGGCTATCACTACACTATCCTATTGTCTTTCAATACTAAATTTAAAAATATAGCTAGTGTATCTGTGATTAAATTCTGTGAGATGAACCACTTGAGATCAAAATTACTCCTTTGGACAGCCCTGAGAAGCTTTTGGGTAAAAATTGTTTAATATACTAGTAGTACTTTTATCGGATGAAGAGTGAACAAAATATCTGATAACAATTTATAATTGCCCCAACAACAGATCATTAAATTCGTAGGTCAAACAACCTAATGCTATTAAAAAAAACATTTCCAGTTCATGGAGCTACTACCGGGGTATTCCATTATTTTATGAAAACATTTTAGAATAGGATCGTTCTAGTGGCAATTTATATTCACTCATTCTCAAGTACAGTGAATTACCTTTAATTTCTTTCTATAGTGCTGAATACATGCATGTCCAAAGTCAAGGGTTGTACTTGTTTACAAATGGGCCGGATTTCCGCAGTCACGTGATATCTGTAATAAAACCAGACAGCAGTATGATAATGCTTGGGTCAAAGTTGGTTAGGATTTATTTCATGGATGACTGCGATGAAGACGATTGTTTTGTTATTATGTTTCTGAGTTGTGAATAAACCCACTTTCTTGGAGTAATAATTCCACAATGATGTGTAATCAGCGTAATCTTGATTTTTCGCAAGGATGCAGACGCACCACATGCACTGCCACACCTCCAGAATCGCTCACCTGACACATGACCAAAAATGGATCTACCCTTGTCACGTGTTTTCTGGTGTCGGCCATTTTTATGTATGCGGCTTTCCATCGGCTTTGTTTGCATATATCGGGAGGTTGCTTGCATGTTTTGCTGCTAGCCAAGCGATTGCTCTCGTATTCAGTGCCCCTCCGCTGCTGTTATTTCATTTTATATATAACCATATTCTATCGCTCGAAGCAAGTCTGATCTCTGCTTGTGTTGACCATCTCGGGAAAAAAGACGTAGCGGTAAGTTTTACCTGTAAAATGTGTTTGTTTTACCACAATACTAGAAGCACCTATGTTGTGTTATTCGAATCACAAGCCGGGCCATCGCAAAAGTCCCATGTAAACAAACGAAACATAATACCAGTGTGTAAAATTTGCCCTTGTCTATTATGATCCGGATTTAGAAAACATAGTTTACCGTGGATCACCGTCAAAATCTCTGTCTGAGAATCAAACAGGTGTTACCAATTCTTCGATTTTATTCGGCGCAGATGCCTTCTGTTGAGCAGTCTAGTTTTCCTTAAAATAATAGTTGTTTCTAAAAATAAATATGTGTTCTATTGAAATATGTATGATATTCATAGCAGACGACTTGATTTAGTGGCGCGTTTGTTCACGGAAAATAAATCTAAATTTTTTTAAAAAACGCGTTCAATAATGTGCCTTACCGGTATTTATAGAGAAAATAAACAAATATCTGTTCATCATATACCACTATTGGACAGCAGGTTTTACATTAGCACATAGCGGCCTTCTTTTTGAAATTTAAATTGTCAGCATAAATAGTCTGACCGACAATGACTGCAGTGGGTTGACAATTCGACTCAGAATCAATTTATATAACTCGCGTGATGCTTTTGTTCAGATGCCTTTGTAAATAATGTTACGACTGACTATAATATTTGTGAGCACACAAGTTTTCATCCGATCTTGTATTTAAAAAAAAAAAAAAAAAAAAAAAAAAAAACACGTAACTATTTATCCATAATACGACCCACAACTTCTGAATAGACAGGTTATGTGTCATATGTTTGTGAATACTTCAGTGGATATGCCAATTGTTTTCTTTTACACAGTGTATAACAATTCAATACAAAAAAAAAAACACCTTGGCCGAAAGCATTGCTATGTAGTTACTTCAGTAGTTTCACTTTTTCACTCCTTGACTGTTTATTTGTGCTGCATGACATGATCAGTAGTTGGTTGACATCAGCAGTTGTTTACCACCATGGTTATTCTTATTTTGTGTTTTCCAGATATTAAGGTAGTTCACAACCATTAAATATGAAAAAAAAAAATGATCACAGTAAATCTTCCAAAAAAATTTTTGTGTGATGATTCATATTTAAAGTTTTTGTTGGGAAAGAAGGATGTGTATTGAAGAAAACATTGTCTAAAAATTCAAAATAATCTGAAAAGCACAATTTTGTAAAACTATTCCATGGATAACTTATACTACCGGTAATATTAAAAATTCACACTACATATCATGTTTTAGCATAGGTCACTAAACAAAGTTTTGAGATATAATGGAATGTTTCTACTATAGGAATTAAGTGTAAACTATTAACAAAATGCACTTTTGATAAATTTTTAGGCCATTTTGTGGAAAACTTTGGTGACCATATATTTTTATTTTAGAATTTTGAACATTAGAGTAACCCTTGCTGGATTTCAAAGTTTTCAGGGTATTTTTTTAATAGTAGCAAACCACCTTAAGCACGATCATAAATTAGTTTTGAGTAAACATAAAAAAGGAGGTCAATGACATATTGGTTTTCCCCTCCCTGTCTTGGGGGGTTTCATGCCCATTTCAATGTTGAATACAACTATATCCTAATATAAATACATTATACATGTACAGTGTTTTATGCATTCCCATTTTATACTATATATGCAGAATAACTTCTGCTGATTTGTGAGATCACTATAAGAAATGATAAAATAAGGTAGTGTATATATAGCCACAAACCCTGAAATATTTGAGCAATGAAGCAAGCCAACACTGAAGGTTGTGGTGTCTGATCACTAATTCAAACCTAATTTTCATTGTTGTAATCACTTGCATACTTAAAAGGGTCTTATAAATTTGATTTTTGAATTATGTTTTCTCATAAAATGTATAAAAGCCCTTATCAGTGACGATCAGTACGAGGTTTTCTTCAGATTATACAAAGTTGGAAAGTAACTTGTAATAGTGTCTACGGTACTGTAGAAAATCGGATGGAGTTTTGACACTGAACCGATACTGACATTAACAATACATAGTGATGAATCATCGTTGCTTATTTTTATCTCCTTGCATACGACCATGTTCTTTATTGTGTTCGCAACATGTACCACTGATAGCCGATGAAAGACAGACACGAATTTACACAGTCACAGTTTGCTTGAGAGTGTTCAATGAAATGCATAAATCACCACTGACCCATTCTTTGTGTTATTGTTATATGGCCATGTTGTTCACTCATCTACTTTATTCCTTGCAAACTATTCACAAGTAGTTGATTGATGCTGTATTATTTTAGCAATGATACGCTGAATACCAATCCACTTAGAGAAAATTAGGTTGAATTGAAAAAAAGAACTCTATATATATAATATATGCACATTGACTTATCATATTTATTTACAAATAATATTGACATCCAATTACACTGGTTGATCAAATGTTGGATAAACTTTATTTTTTTTTTTTGTGAGTTTATTGACTCCCCATACGAATCGTGTTTGCGACATTTTTAGAAATAATCAAAAAAATTGCATGCAAAGTGGGAATTTCTATGGGCCCCTCAAAGACGTGGCATCCCAGCAACTTTCTTGAAATGTTGTCTTCACAAGTGCCATTATTTCATTGAGTCATGAAAATTCCATGCAGCAAGAATTAATGTTTTATTCGAATTTCAGGAATGTTAAAATATCTCTTGATGGAAACGGAAACATTGCCCCTATGGGAGAACAGATCTATGATTAATTTAGTTTGAATTTACATGATGCTATTACAGTATTTTAACAGAATTGTCTTGTGGAAACAAAACATTGTCTTTGAGAAATTGTCAATCTTATGTTCATCATCCATCATGGGAGTCTTTGCAGTTAGTGTGTCTGTATGTGTGTGTGTGTGTGTGTCCGTCTGTTCCACTGCTATCTCAAGAACCATACATCGGTTTTTGATGAAACTTGGTGCATATATGTTCTGGGACAATGCGCAGATTTGGTTAGTTTTTGGTAAAAATCTGTGCATATTAATTACCTAATTTGCATGATGATTAGTCAATTTTCGGGTTTTCCACTGATGTCTCAAGTACTAATCATCACACTTCAATGAGACTTGATACATAGATGTTATAGGACACTGCACAGATCTGATAGTTAATATTTCAAGTAGTAAGCATTACATTTCAATGAAACTTGGTACATAGACAGTCAAGAACTATGCAGAGATTGATTGTTTTAGAATAAATATGTGTGCATATTAATCACCTAATTTGCATAATTAGTTAATTTTCAGCTTTTCCACAGATATCTCAAATACTAATAATCACCTTTCGATGAAACTTGGTACATAGATCCTCTAAGACTATGCAGAGACCTAATTAGTTTTAGGGTAAATAATTGTGCATATTAATTATCTAATTTGCACAATTAATTATTTTTCAGCTTTTCCACTGATATCTCAAGTATTAATCATCACATTTCAATGAATCTAAAACTATGCAGAGACCCAATTAGTTTTCGGTGAATATTTATGCATATTAATAACCTAATTTGCATAATTAATCAATTTTCAACTTTCACACTGATATCTCATTTACTAATCATCACATTTCAATCAAACTTTGTACATGGATGCTGTAGGACAATGTACAAACCTGATTAGTTTGGGGGTAAAATCTGTTCATATTCATTCCCTAATTAGCATAATAATTCATAATTTTTTGGTACATAGATGGTCTGTTACATTGCCCAGACCTCATTAATTTTACACTCAAATCTGTTCATATTAATTTTCTGATTTGCATAATTAGTTTTCAACTTTTTCATCAATATTTCAAATACAAGTAATTTTGATTTATTTTAAATGTGTCTCCAATACTCTCAGCACATGGGAGTTCTTTCTAAGCTTTCTTTGATTCTGT